GGTTACCATCTAAAATAAATACGAAGTAAGGAGAAGTTTCAGCCCAACAGCTCATAGGACGTAAGGTTCTGATTGCTGTACAAAAATATATAAAAAAAATAGTATAATATTATTATATTATAAATTATCTAAAAATTACAGCTTCTATTTTTATTACGCGTTTTGGCAACTTTTTTGAAATCTTGATGTTGACGTTTACTGATCCGAAGCATCGAATTGACGCGATGATCTTTTTTGTTAGAAATTTGATTGTATACAAAATAACTTAATATAATCAAGTTTAGTGTATCTCCTCGTTACTATTGTATTTACTATTTGAAAGCTTAATATTACAAATGATGCAAATATATAATCATTTTTTCGGTAATCTGGTACTCCGTCAATTTGGAGGGCTTCCGTAGAGAAAGGTATACTATGTATGAATTCCAAAATTTAGAAAATTTATGAATTATATAATTGTATATCTTGTAATGAAATATAAATTCATAATACAAGTTAAGTTAGTTAAATTAGCTATGTTTTTTTTTAACATTTCGTTTAAAAGTTCGAATTCCTTCTAATTGACGGGTCCCGTAAACCTAGTGTTAATGTATTTATTACTGAACTCAGAAAATAAGAAATTCTCTTAATCTCCTATGACAATGTTGAAAATCTTACTAATAAAATATGTAGTAGTAGTGTAGTGTGCAAATAAAAGCGTCCGTTCTCGAGGCATAGCAGAGACCTTCTCAAGGCCGGCCGTTGCCCGATTCATCTGCTCGCGTCTTTGCGCGCATTCTAGTAAATAACTGCTCTGAACAATTCGCCAATGAACATTATTATTGCTATTGAATAGTTACGTACGTAACGTAAATTTTCAACTCGGAGCCTTCGTTCTCTCATCGCGGATTTCAATTATCAATCTTCTAATTTCTTTACATTACATCGTGTACGACTTTTGAAATATCATGTCTATTTCGAATAAAATCAGATCATTGTTTTTGGCTTAAGGGGGTATTCTAGTGTAGCGGCTTGAATTTTAGGTCATTTTTAAATCATCGTAAAAAGCCATTTTTTTACTATTATTTATTTATCATTTTTATCAACGTTACAAGAGCACAGAATAAAAGTAAAAAAAAAAATAATTTTAAAAATTAGCAGTTGGCGAAGTAGGGGGTCAAAAAAATCGTCACGTGACAGTGTCTACAATTGCAATCCTCTTCCTAATCCGAAATGAAAACTAGTGGTGTATGGCATAGTGCCTTAAGGCAAATTGCTGGAACTTCCCGTATCTTAATGAAATATTCGAAGAATATCAAATGGTTTCAAATAGATTATTATAATTATTTGAAGAATTCATTCGTGACGTGAAGATATTCAAAAATTTTCTTTTTCGATTTTCGGCTCATTATTATAACTACCCTACGGAAAGTTAAAAAAGATTATTAATTTAGAATGATGTCTCAATGGCATTTACTAGAAATAAGTTAATTTTTTTTTGACAAAATGGCGACTGTTTGAAAAAAAGACAATTTTCTTACCACTTTTTTGAGTTTCTCGAAAATATTAAAAATTTAAATTTGGGGATGCGGCTAGTATATACCCGAGAAAAGTCTATAAGAAACATGCTCTGAAAATTTCAAGTAAATCGGTCCAGTAGAACTCGAGAAATCGCGGGCTTTGTATTGAAAAAGACAACTTTAAGAAAAACGTGTTTAAAGTTTCGTAAAAGAAAGGAAACAGAAAAGGATTATCATGGTCAAACAGATGTATCTCCGAAAATAATTTAAATTTAAAAAAATCTACTCGCACACATATTCTTGAAAAATTAAACTTTGAAAATATGAAAAAACAAAAAAACTATTTTTTGGAATTTCTACACTAGAATACCCCCTTAAGGTGAATGTTTCTTGCAGATTTTGTAGAAAATTCCGATATCGTGTGGAAAACTGAAATACTTGAATACAAACTTTTTAGTAAGTAAACATCTACTTACGATCTCGAATATTAGTAGTAAACTCTAGGATTAATAAATTTACGAAGAACAACACTTGAACGGTTGAAGTTGTTTGATGAATAGAAATGAGTTTGGAAAATGTATAATACCCTAAAAAATCCAAAAATTTGATATGCACATCTTTCAATGATCAGTTTTGACGCTTTATGACCATTTTTTTCACCATTTTCTCCGTATTCTATTTTATTCTTATGTAACTTGTTTGTAATAATCTTAATCATTATCAATAATTTGCATTCATTTATCTCATTTCCAAAAAGGTTACTGTCTGAATATTAGCAATATCGCTTCTTTATATATTTTTTTAATACATTTATATAGATACTGGTTTTATAACAGCTGCAATCACGCATAGTATAAAAAAGTTCAATAAGTTATAAATTTTATTGGGCATTTATAACGTCGATGGTTTTTAAATCTGGTCATACAGTTTTAACAGTAAATGAAGAACACATGAAATTTAGCATGTTCACTAAAGATTAATACTGTACAGTTATAATTAGGTGTTTTATGTGATTGTCTAAATACAAGACTAGTATTGATTGCTACGAAACTACCATTCACAAACTTGGGAAGTCGAATACATTATTTTGCACTATGGGAATGAGTATAGTCAAAAGTTGCGATAATTTTTACATTGAGTATTTTTACATCCGCAAGTTTTGCGGGTTCAGGGTCTCATTTTTTGCGAAAAAAATTATATGAATATATATTGTCAAATTAAGGATTGCTAGTTTACATACGAATTACTATTACTTTTTTTCATGCTAAACAACTTTAATATGATTTAAGGTAATAAGTACTATTTAAGAATGAAATAAAAACCAATTTAAATAAATCATTTTTTGAATAAAAATTATTTGCTTTCAGTTAGATCTATAATATTCGATTATGATGTATAAAATCTCAATATTTATTTGGTTTTAAGCCTTGTATAAAATTTTAATTCAAATTTCTTCATAATTAAATTAGTAAATATTGCACTTGTGCCAGACAGTCAAGTTCGTTCTCATAATTTTTGCTATTTTATATACAATTGAAAATAGAAGTTCGAAATTTTTAATGTGAGAGGCTATTTTAATCCGACTCTGGAATTTTGACTTCGGCAACGTTTGTGTGATATAAGCATACTCGTCGTATATATAATTTTCAGATATTTCATGGGAAATTCTAATTTTATTATAAAGTAATTGCGAAGATTCAATTGAACCTATACTTTTCGAAAACTCGGGACAATCCGGGACAAAAGTTCCAAATCCGGGACAGTTATTGCTCTTAGAAAAACTCAGGACACTAGGTTGTAATCTGGGACAACAAACACGAATCAACGGATTTAAATGATCCAAAAACATTCGGTTCCAATTCATGAGGAGACGCGTTGCTGATTAGTTTTTGATAAAGCAGGTCGAGCCGTTTTGAAAATACGGGACAAAAAGTGCCTAAATAGGGTAGTTCGATTTTTGAGAGAACGGAGAGCCGATTTTAATAATTCAAAAAACATTTTACTTGTATTGACAAAATGAATAACTGATTAAATTTTTGGGAAGACAGGTCTAGCGGTTTCAGAGATCCAATAAAAAAATGAAATAGGCGGACATAAATGATGATTAGACATATGCACATTAAATTTTCAGATATTTTATAGATATTTAATTTTTTTTATGTTTTATTTGACCTCGTTCTACACATTTAGTCATATACAATATATCTGACAAAACTAAATTATTATCTAACTAATCTATCAAAATTTAATGACTAATTCAGAATATTTTATAAATTCATATAATATTCTATATCATCCTTTAAAATGCGACGCGGCGCTTACGAGCTTCAATATTTCGTCTTCACGCAGCTAAAGCAGCGCGATTACTTTAAAAAAAGTTGAAAATTGTCAGAAAATTCAAAATATATCAAATTAAATAAAGAGTGCGAGTAAGGTTCACACGCGATTGATGTAAAACTTATTTGCTACTGTACAAAGTAGCAAATTTAAGTTAAGTAAAAATTTTGAATAATGTTTATTAGTAATAGTGATGCACACATTTATTAGTGTCAACCATTATACACATTTTTATAATGATAAATTTCAAATTATATATTTATAATAGCATTAAAAATATGTATAATATTTAAAACCAATAATGTAATTAAAGTCATACTTCAAATATGACACGATCGGTTTGTCATTGTAATTAGCATTTAGAAATGAACCTTTATTAGAGAAACAAAGTAATTGCTGATTAATAAATTCTATAATATTTGTTCACACAGTGGATTTAAACAACGCCTAAACAAATATTGTTTTTGCTACTTTACTCATCATGTAATTGTGTTTGGAGAACTTCGTGTAGTTAAAATTAACATACATTAATTGACTACTTGTATTTTTTTACTTTTTTGCTGGCGATATAATCTCATTCTTTGAACAGCTGTAATATCTGTCCTGCCTAAAAAATATTTTCTATTATAATAACTTCAAAGATTTATAGAAACTACGAATAATATAGAAATAATTTCTAATCAATTAATTTAAATGTTTAATTTGTTTTATTATTTTCAAGGAATAGGGTAAAATATTCTTCTGATTCAGGCATTTTTCATTGAATCAAGATTTGTATTACGATGTAACTTTAAAATGTTTAGAATGTATTTATCTATGCCGATTTGCTTGTTGATATCGGTACGCATACAACGTTGACGCCGGTACGCATACAACGACAGATCTCTATTCACATACACGACGACTAATCACAATCGACCTGTATTTAAATGATTTCATCGAGGGTGAATGACGTACAGTTCGGGCGTAACGCTATTTCCGTTGCATTTGTACGGATTTACACCCTAGTCGCGCCTAAAGAAGTTTTACTTCAAAATCAAAATTCTCAGAAATATAAATTTATAAATGCCATGCTCCACTAGTTTCATGAATGCGATGTAATTGTGTAAAGTAGCGATTTGTTTTGTTTACGACTAACCGATGCCGAATTTCACCTTGCTGCAGATCGCCGTGGAGAGGTTCAAGAGCGCGCTCTGGGCGTCGCGCTGGAGATGGCTTCGCAGATGCTGGACCGTTGCGTAACTCTGATATCCGCGCAGGTCAGCTCGCCACGTCTTTTCGTGCCTCCAGATGTACAAGTCATGTTACCTGCACTCAAGGTCAGTTTTTGTTTCTACCAACAATTATTTTGTACAGTTTCAACATTCTGGATATTTATGATTTCTTCCTATAATACTTGCGCGCGCTTCAAACGAATACTATCGAGTAAGATTCTATCATGCGAGATGTGCTCAAGATCAATTGCGCATTATTCGGTGTTCATTAAATTGATAGAGTGAAATTTGATAAAAGCTTTTAGATGTTTCAGACATGTTCTGATTTCGTTTTTGTTCGTGTAACTTTTAAGTATGGCAATTTGTATAGCAACATTACGAAAATTATGATTCAAAAAGATTAAATAAGGATCGTACAGTTCTTTTTGTGCAATGATTTAAGTAATTTTATCTGCTTCAAATAATTTTTTATATGTATATTGTTTGTTAACGAACTGTAAGCGTTTAAAATTAAAATAACATCATTCTTTATCCGAGCAAACCGCCTGCAAATTGAATCTGTACAACGTGCCTAAACGACAAAATAAATGTTCTTTATTATATTATATCCATTTATTCAAATTTTAAATATTTTTTCACCATATTAATTCTTTGACTATAATAGCAGTGTATTTAACAATTTAGCTTAGCTGTTGGATTTTCATTTTGTGGGGTTCCATTTAGTATATCCAAATATTGATAAATAAACTTTTAATACGTTAAACATACCAGTATTCGAAAATATGATATTTATAAATAATAAATATCTCTGAAAATATTTAACGGGTCCGCTAAACTGTTTTTTGACTAGTTGAAATAATTAAAACTGCATAATTTCTCAAATTCTTATTTTTTAAGGAAAGCGCTAAGATGAAAACTGTGTATTCATATTTTGAGAATTTTAATTATAAAATGTTTTAGGGCGCAGGATTTTTTTTTTCCTTATTTTTTAATAAAATATGAGATGGCGGTCTCGTTTCATACATTATTTTTGTCAATTTATCAAGTTTTAATGATTTTCTTCAAAATCAGTTCAGCGCTTCTTAGAATTCTAAATTGAATTTTTAATCTTTAATTTGTTTTTTTGTTGTTCAACTTTTTATAATGGTCAATTTATAAAATATAGAATCTTTAATGTTTTTTAAATTTTCCTATTTCTGGTTGCTAGTTTGGTTTCTAATTTTTCATTTTTATAAGGTTTTATCTGAAAAAAAAATAGTAATAAAATTCTGAAACATTAGTTTTTCTAAAACTGATGTACACTCTTTCTCATTTTATATATGTATATATATTTAAAAGCTTTAATTTTTAACTTCCCGTAGGGTAAGTTATAGTAATCGCAAAAAAATCGAAAATGAAATTTTTTATATATCTTTACGTTTCAGAGGTTTCTGAACATTTTGGCATACCTTAGAAAAAATGGATGTATGTGTGTGTGTGTGTGTGTGTGTGTATGTATGTATGTATGTATGTATGTATGTATGTATGTATGTATGTATGTATGTATGTATGTATGTATGTACGTGTGTGTATGTATGTGCGGATACAAATTTTCGTCGACGATTTCGGGAACACGGATCAACCGATTTGAATAATTCAAAAAACATTCGATTCGTATTGATAAGGAGACGTGCTGATTAGTTTTTGGCGAAGGCAGATCCAGCCGTTCCGAAGATACGGGGCAAAAAGTGCCAAAAACAGTACCTCCGTTTTTAAGAGAACGGAGCGTCCGATTTGAATAATTCAAAAAACATTTTACTTGTATTGACAAGATGTAGAATTGATCAAATTTTCATGAAGGCAGGTCTAGCGGTTTCGGAGATCTAATGAAAAAAGTAAAAAAAAATGCCATTCGGCGGTTAAAAATGATCATTAGACATATGCACATCAAATTGTCAGATATTTATAGAGATTTTAACAATGAGTATAATTTTTTTTTACATTTCTGTGGGTTCCGTACCAATGCTTATGCGTTAGACGGCGGCGCGGCACCTGCGAGCTTTGACATTTCGTTTCTATGCAGTTCAAGCAGTGCGATTGCTTTGAAAAAAAGTTCAGAATTTTCAAAATATGTCAAAATGAAGAAAACATTTTTTTTCAAAAAAATTTTTGTTTTCAAAAAAATTTTTTCTCAAAAAAAATTTTTTTTTCAAATAAAATTTTTTTTTTTTGAAAAAAAAAGTATTTTTTTGGCAAATTTATAGTTTCTCAAAAATCTATTTTTTTCGAAGTAAATTTTTTTCAAAATGTTAATCGTTTTTAAAAAAAATAATAATTTTTGGTACGGGAAGTTCCAGCAATTTGCCTTAAGGCACGATGCCCTAATTGCCTTAAGACAGAATTCCACTTACAGCTAGTTTAACATTTATTTATTAATAGTATGTGCTCAGTTACTATATTTGTAAATAATTTAAATCTTTTTTTTTTTATACTTGGGATTTAATTTTTTAACTTCCCGTAGGGTAAGTTATAGTAATCGCAAAAAAATCGAAAATGAAAATTTTTATATATCTTTACGTTTTAGAGGTTTCTGAACATTTTGGCATACCTTAGAAAAAATGGATGTATGTGTGTGTGTGTGTGTGTGTGTATGTACGTGTGTGTATGTATGTGCGGATACAAATTTTCGTCGACGATTTCGGGAACACGGATCAACCGATTTGAATAATTTAAAAAACATTCGATTCGTATTGATAAGGAGACGTGCTGATTAGTTTTTGGCGAAGACAGGTCTAGCCGTTCCGAAGATACGGGGCAAAAAGTGCCGAAAACGGTAACTCAGTTTTCAAGAGAACGGAGCGTCCGATTTGAATAATTCAAAAAACGTTTCACTTGTATTGACAAGATGAAAAATCGATAAAATTTTCATGAAGGTAGGTCTAGCGGTTTCGGAGATATGGAGGAAAAAGTAAAAAAATGAGCCATTTGGCGGTCAAAAATGATCATTAGACATATGCACATCAAATTATCAGATATTTTATAGAGATTTTAACAATAAGTATACATTTTGTTAACATTCCTATGGGTTCCGTACCAATGCTTATGCGTTAGACAGCGAAGCGGCGCTTACGCGCTTTATATTTGTCCCTATGCAGTTAAAGCAGTACGATTGCTTTGAAAAAAAAGTTCAGATCTTCCACAATATGTCAAAATAAAGAAAAAAAAATTTTTTTCAAAAAAAAAAAATTAAAAAAAAAACTTTTTTTTCAAAAAAAAGTAATTTTTGTCCAATTTATAGTTTCTCAAAAATCTTATTTTTTCAAAGTAAATTTTTTTCACAAATGTTAATCGTTTTTAAAAAATAATAATTTTGGTACGGGAAGTTCCAGCAATTTGCCTTAAGGCACGATGCCTTAATTGCCTTAAGACAGAATTCCACTTACAGCTAGTTGAAATTTGGTTTTTACTTCATTCTTTCGAGTACTGTTAGAACTATACCTGTCAATAGTGGGTTTTGTAGATAAAAAAATTCTGTTGATTAAACACAGTAATTAGCAGCACTGTATACTCAAAAATATGTGACTATCCTTAGTATCTGAAACTATCAAATAAAAAAGAAATTTGTTAGTTATATCATTAGATAGACATTTTGACAAATTATTTTATTTCATTATTAGTGGATCTACATTTTGGTGAAATTAAAGGGAGAACTGTTATAAATGCCGGAACATAAATATATTGCGTATGCATATAAGATTATTTACAAAAATGTATATAAACTTACCCGAAGAAAAAACAAAAAAATGTACATACAAACATTATAAAATTAA